CGGCGGCCGGAGCCGGAGCACCACACCGCGCCGCCGCCCTCCAGGTGCCGCCCCAAGCACAAGCTTGGTGGGCTGGTGCCTGGAGCCGGCCCTGGCTCCCATTGACTGCAGTGGAATTTGTGGGCAATCAGCCTCTCTGCAAATCAGGCAACTGTCGTTTTAGTGCATAACTATGGATTTAGGAGCCTAACTTTAGGCATCCAGATATGTAAGTTTTGGCTCAGGGTTAAGGGTTTCTAGGAACTAAACTGGTAGTTAAATAATTAATTTTAATGGACTGGAAATCTCTCTTTTTCATGTATCAGAGGGGTAGCCATGTTAGTCTGGATCTGTAAAAGCAGCAAAGAGTCCTGTGGCACCTTTAAGACTAACAGACGTATTGGAGCATGAGCTTTCATGGGTGAATACCCACTTCATCGGATGCATGTAGTGGAAATTTCCAGAGGCAGGTATAAATATGCAAGCAAGAGTGAGGTAACGAGGTTAGTTCAATCAGGGGGGATGAGGCCCTCTTCTAACAGTTGAGGTGTAAACACCAAGGGAGGAGAAACTGCTTCAATCTCCCTGGACACACAATAGCAGATGTAAAGGTAGCCATCCTGCAGCAAAAAAACTTCAGGACCAGACTTCAAAGAGAAACTGCTGAGCTTCAGTTCATCTGCAAATCTGACACCATCAGCTCAGGATTAAACAAAGACTGTGAATGGTGAGCCAACTACAGAAGCAGTTTCTTTTTGATCCTTGCCTCAAACAGCTTACAATCTAAATATAAAACAGAAGATGACCGGTGGATACAGATGGGGGAGTACAAGGAAACAATGATGTGATAGGAATACACATGACAGGTAATGGTCTGTTCTTCTCTTCTAAAAATACTCAACTTCAGTCACTTTATACAAATACTGTATTTGCTTCCTTGGTTACCTATGCCAAAAGGTGTTAACCAACAGGCCTTGTGGTGAAAGGAGGTGGGGGTCAATTTACATCTTTGCTCCCACTATACTTAATTGAAGCCAGATTTCTACACGCTTAACAAAGCAGCAGTTTACCCAGTTGATGCAGGATATAATTCCAACCCTACAACCTTTATTCATGCAAATACCTCCATTTACATGAATGGGAATATTTATGTGAGTAGAGACTATCTGCATAAGTATTGGTTGCAATAGAAAGGCTAAAACTTAGCACCTGATTCTGATTTCAAAGCACAATAAACCAGGAGTAACTTGTTTGAAATCCATGAAGTTACACTGGTATAAAAACAGTAGGAAAACAGAATCAGACCTTCTGACGTTTTTAAAGTGAAAATGCAGATGCTGCGGAAAATGCATACTTTGGGACAAGTCCTGACTTCCATTTCTCTGATGTGGTGGAAAACCGTATAAACATTCGGGGCCAAATTCAGATCTCCAGTACACTGTTGCATACCTTGACTCCTTGACCTGCTGCAGACATTGACTTTACACTTACACTAGTACACATTCAGTGACCTCATCATTTGGTGCTATGATGTCACCGACGCTCAGACATGAATAAATGAATGTACTTACTTCAGTACACATTCAAAGTATTTCAATTGAAGTCAATAGAGTGACGGTGAATTTGTACTGGTATGGGATGAGAATTGATTCTAATGGAATTACTCAAGCTTTGCACTAGTATAGTGGAGATCAGAATTTGACACAACATTTTTACAGAGACTTTCCACCACACCACAGGGTTTTAAAATCCTTTTGACGTGAGAGGAGTGTGTTTATTTTTAAACTTCCTACTGACAAACCTGACCACAGTTCAGTTTCTGGTAATAACATGTAGATAAAGTATCTTTCATGTAAATATTCTAGCGCATTCTACACACATACAAATTAAACATAGCTCAAGGGTGGGATTTGCTAAAGCTCTCAGCATTGACCCAACTCTGCTCCCTCTGATAAATGTCAAAACTCCCACTGACTTCAGTGGGAACAACTGAGCACTCATGAAAATCCCATCCCAAATGTCTAACCCAAAACTAACTGGAAAAAATGAGATTTAACCTCCGTTTTAAAAAGCTCATTTGATAAATGAACAAAATCAGGGTGCTGAAGTGAGGAAAGTAATAAGGACCCAACTAACAAAAGCTGTCTAATGGAATTTGGGGGCACTGCGGGAAAAGCAAGAGCCGATGGATTTAGAGACCAGGAGGAGCCAGAAATTCAGAGGAAATGTGGGGTATGAGCAGGGGTGAAAGTAACTGAAAGAACTTACCGGTACGCCGGAGTCCTCAGCAGGTGGCGTAGCCTCAACCGGAAGAGGCGTGGCCTCAACCGGAAGAGGCGGGGCCTTTAAATACCAGGCCCTTTAAATCAAGATTTAAAGGCCCCGGGACTCCGGCTGCAGCTGGGAGCCCTGGGGGCTTTAAATCACCCCCGGAGCTCCCAGCTGCCCCGGGGCTCAGGGGTGATTTAAAGTGCCTGGGCTCCAGCCGCCGCTACCACGGTGGAGCTCTGGGCCCTTTAATTCACCGCCAGAGCCCTGCCGCTGCTACCCCAGGGCTCCAGCAACAGGGCTCAGGCGGCGCTTTAAAGGGCCCAGGAGTCCGCTGCTGCGGGGAGTCCTGGGCCCTTTAAATCACCCCCGGAGCCCTGCCGCCGCTACCCCAGGGGTCCGGCTGCTGCGGGAAGCCCGGGCCCTTTAAATCGCCAGCCTGAGTAGGGTGACCAGATAGCAAGTATGAAAAATCGGGACAGGGGGTGTGGGGTTAATAGGAACCCATATAAAAAACCCCCAAATATCAGGACTTCCCCTATAAAATCGGGACATCTGGTCACCCTAAGCCTGGGGAAGCCGGTCTGGTCCTGCACGGCGAACTGGCTCTTGCTGGTACGCCGTACTGGACCATACCAGCTTACTTTCACCTCTGGGTATGAGGAACATAATCTTTTATTAGATTTATATATCTATGTCAAAACTTCAGAGAGAATGAAAAAGTTTACTGTTATTGGGGAAAATCCTGCTTCATTTACTCCAATTGGATTAATCACATGAGGTAAGTAAGCAGGTTTTAGCCCCGGTGAAGTCCTGATTCAGCAAGGTACTTAAACATGAGTGTAGTCCCATTGACATCAATGAAACTACTTCTGCGCTTAAAATTAGACAAGTACATAAGTGCTTCGGTGAATCAGTCCCAGCAGGCTCTGCAAAAGTCAACACAGGCAATTTCCAGGGGCTTGCATGAACTTGTTTCTCAGCTGGGGTTCATGTCAGTTTATACTCAGAGTTTATCAGATTCAGGGTTTTTGAAAACATGAATTAAAACTGAATCGAAATCACTAAATTTCACCTGGTTCTGGGTTTAAATTAGGGTCAATTTGCTTGAAAGGTTTTCAAAGCTTTCACTGAACCAGGGCAGAGTTTTAAGTTTGCAACAAAATATGAAACCAAGCAAGACTTTTATGTGGTTTCAGGTTTTGTTACAAAAACTTTACACAAATCTAGTAATAATTGGTGCAGAGATTATAAACTATGAATAGACTGGATTCTACTCACCTTGCCCAAGCAAATAAATGCCATTAATTTCAATTGAAAATTAGCTGGATTTGGGAATACATTAACTCCAGTAAATAATGGGTTAATATTTGACTGATATCTGTAAACGTCCCTGACACAAGATGAACACAGAGATCATGCAGAGAGTAGCTACATTTTTAGGTTATTGTGGATAACAAATTATTATTTCATTTTATTTTTAAAAATATTTTTGATACAAAGTGACAAAAATATAATAAAGACTTGCAGTTACAATCAGAGAGCTCAGCAGGAGCATTGATTGCAAGAAGCATAAGGTACATGGGTTTCAACAACCTAGATGGAGCTACTATAAGGTAGGAGCATAATTGGTTGAAAAACCATTCTCAGAGAGTAATCATCAGTGGTCACAGTCAAGCTGAGAGGGCATATTGAGTTGGGTGCTGCAGGGATCATTTTTGTGTCTGGTTCTGGTCAATATCTTCAGTGATTTAGATAATGGCATAGAGAGCTTCCACAGTGTGCTCTCTACCAAGCTGGGAGGGATTGCAAAGGCTTTGGAGGATAGGATTAAAATTCAAAATGATCTAGATAAACTGGAGAAATGGTCTGAAGTAAATAGGATGAAATTAAACTAGGACAAATGCAAAGTACTCCACTTAGGAAGGAACAATCAGTTGCACACATACAAAATGGGAAATGACTGCCTAGGAAGGAGTACTGCGGAAAGGGATCTGGGGCTCATAGTGGATCACAAGCTAAAAATGAGTCAACAGTGTATTAGCAGGAGTGTTGTAAGCAAGACCCAAGAAGTAATTATTCCGCTGTACTCCGCACTATAAGGGTTCAACTGGAGTATTGTGTCCAGTTCTGAGTGCCAGATTTCAGGAAAGATGTGGACAAATTGGAGAAATGAACATTCTGGACAAGAAGAGCAACAAAAATTATTACAGTTCTAGAAAACATGACCGATGAGGGAAGATGGAATAAACTAGGTTTGTTTAGTCTGGAGAAGAGATGAATGAGGGGGGACATGATAATAGTTTTAGTATATAAAAGGTTGCTACAAGAAGGAGGGAAAAAAATTGTTCTCCTTAACTCTGAGCAGGGGCGACTCCAGGCACCAGCACACCTGAGGGGGGCGGCCTACCGGTCGCTGTGGGGACAGCAGTCAGGGAGCCTTCAGCGGCATGCCTGTGGGAGGTCCGCCAGTCCTGTGGCTTCGGCAGCAATTCGGCAGTGGGTACGCCGAAGCCACGGGACCGGCAGACCTCCCGCAGGCATGCCGCCAAAGACAGCCTGACTGCCGTGCTTGGGGTGGCAAAATACATAGAGCCACCCCTGACTCTGAGGATGGGACAAGAAGCAATGGGCCTAAATTGCTGCAAGGGAGGTTTAGGGTGAACATTAGGAAAAACTTCCTAACTGTCAGGGTGGTTAAGCGCTAGAATAAATTGCCTAGGGGGGTTGTGGAATCTCCATCATTGGAGATTTTTAAAAGCAGGTTAGACAAACACCTGCCAGGGATGATCTGATAATATTTTGTCCTGCCATGAGTGCAGGGGACTGGACTAGATGACCTCTTGTGGTCCCTTCCAGTCCTACAAATCTAGTTTTCTATATGCTAGGTAGTTTGGCTGCTTATATATTAGAACCATCATATTTGATAAGACCAACAGATATTTTTTCTGTATTTTACATTAGTAAGTTTTTTTCCATTACAACAATCTCTCACACTTTGCCAAACCCAAAAGAGAGTTGATAGACTTCCACTATTGGATTGGAATAATGGATCTGGCAGCAATCTATAGTTGGAGGTATAGAAGAAGGTCAACTTTAGTTGCAGGATGTTTGTTATATAACCCAAGTAAGGCAATAGACATTAATTAGTACAGTAAAGGTGCAAACCAGCACTTTGCACAATTGGGCCTTATTTACAGCCAAATCCTGCATTCTTTACTCAGGCAAAGTTTTTATTGAAGGCAATGGGAGTTTTGTCTGGGTAAGACGATGCACAGTTTGGCTCTTAAACTATCATGTGTATAACTCCAATAGAATCCCTGTCTTGCCTTTGGAAGCAAACTGTTGGAAATGTTATTTTTACATAGGAAATTCTGTCATTACAAAAATCTGAAAATATAGATTTGCATCTACTCGGTACCAATTTTAAACAGCCTCAGTTTATCATGTTGGTAGCAGGATGGATCTTCCACAGGTTTGTATGCAAAGGAGAAGGAGAAATTGCCTATAAATAAAAGAGAAATTAAGCCATTTAATAACATTTCTACTGAAGGGAGAGTGCTTTGCATGTCACTTCCAAGCACAGTACACAAGTAGCTGTGGTAAATAGAGCAGATAGACTTTATATATGTTGGGCATTCACTCATTATGTTCCTAACTTCCACTTATTGACATCACTTACCATTGAATAGGCCCAATAACTTTGAACTGCAGTAGAACTGCAGTGCTATTGAAGATCAAAACTCTGACAGCAAAGAAATTTAGTCAAGGGGTACAATTTTCAAAAGTACCTAAGTTACTTAGGAGCCTAAGTCCTATTTTCAAATGCAACTTAGGCATGTCTATATAACATCCCACTGTTCCCAGCCCAGGTCGACAGACTCGGCCTAGGGGAGCCCTCACTAATACTCTACGAATAGCTGTACAGACGGTGCTCTGAAGTTAGGCCTCAGGGTGCAGCTCAGGCTCTGCAGCCTAGGGTAGGGGGTGGGCTTCAGAGTCCAAGCTGCAATTTCAAAGTGCTGTCTATCCAGCTATTTTTAGAGTGCTAGTGTGAGCCCCGGTAGCCCAAAGCTGCCAACCTGGGCTGGGAGGCTCACCGCCACCTGCTCCAAAATGCTGTGTAGATATTCGCTTAGGAGTTACATTCTACTGATTTTCAATGACAGTCGGGCTCTTAAATGCCGACATCATTTTTAAAAATAGGACTTAGGCGCCTAATCAATTAGACACTTTTGAAAATTTCGCTGAAGATCTTTTACTCGTTTAACCCAGTTAGAGATCAGTAAACACAGGGTCTGATCCTAGATAGTGTTGAGCACCCTCAATGCACATTTAGGTGTACCTAGAAATCTGGCCATCTGTGCTTAATACTCCAATGTATCTATTGCTCAGTGGATTATACTTGTCCTCACTAAAGCTTAACCTTATGCACAGCCGGATTTCAAAGGTTAAACTGCCCATTAGGAGGTGGGCAAAGAATATCCCACACCAAAAATGCAAAGAGAAAAAGGATTCACCTTTGTGCCCGTTGGCCTAAAAAACATTCCTTGGCAACTTGCCTCTCAGCAATAACCAGACCACAGTTTACCCTTGAATTGGCTATTTGCAACCCATAGGTAACCCATAGGGATCAGATGCTCTTGGCCAGCTATTTTGGGTCTGTTGGATCTTCTCTGGGAAGTGCTGGCAACAGCTCAGGGGCAGGAAAGGTATTTACAAGATAAAATTTGCAGATCATAACTAATCTAAGACCTTGCAATTCAAGATTCAGCTAGTTGGAACTAATGTCCTTATTAATATTTATTGTGAGGCTGCTGAGTCCCATATAAAGCATGTTATGTGCGTTATTAATCTACTGCCATTTGATTTGTTTTGAGTGTAGGAGGGTTAAAAGTTAATGAGATGCATTATATTATTTTTATTTTTACCATGTTTTTCTACCTTGAAGTGTGGGAGCTACACAGGCTAACCAGCTATTTTCTTACCACATTTTTATTTACTGGAAAGTTTGCTCTGAGGTTATAACGGATCATTAATTTTTAAAACTGCAGCATGCAAGGTTGATTTACTTATTGCAACTGCCATTGCTCCAGAGTGCTAGACAAAAACAGTCTCTCACTTTGGGATAAATTTGTCCTGCACATGGGGGTGCACACAACTCCCATTTGGAGACAGTCAGATTTGTGGCCATTTGTGATGGCAGCATTTGGCCCATTGGCTCAGAATTCATCTCAGGTCAAAAGTGACAATGCACAAAATGGTCAGTCTATATCTGTGCACCTCACAAAACCACTGCTCTGCACTTTTTGGCCAAGCCAGTATCAACTGAGCCTTCTTTCCCAATGTTTCCAGTTTCCTTCCCGGTGGAAAGGAGACCATTTCATTGTTAGAATTGCATCCTACTGTGGGCAGTTATGAATGGATGCACCCATGGGAGCATTACAAGTTACTAAGTTCAATAAATGATTTGGCATGATTGCTTGTTTCTGTACCAGAGGGGTCCCAGAGTGAAATAGCATGGGGAGGTGTAGGTCATAAATAAAATGCATTGGCAAAGTTGCAAGAGAAAGCTTGCAAGAGCCTATCCATGCTACATCTGGTTCTTGTCTGTACTATATCCCTCACTTTCATGAGCATTACACATTTACTCCCTTTTCTTAGAAGAAACTCACATCAAGCATATATTATAGCAAGCTATAAAAGTCCAACACAGGACACATCATGACAAAAATGGCAATGTTAGCTAGTATATTGACAGGCAACTTGGTTTGGATTGGTGGGGCTGAACCAGAAATGTCAGAGTCCAAACTGTTTTATTGATTCATTGTGTAGAATTGGGAAAGTCATTTAGGGTCTGATCCAAAGCTCACTGCAGTCAATGGGAGTCTTGATTTACTTCAGTGGGCTTTGGGTCATGCCCTTAGGGCTTAAATCCTGCCCTGTTGAAGGCAAGAGGAGTTTTGCTACTGATTTCAATGTAAGCAGAAGTAGGCCCTTTTCTGTTCTGTGTCTCTACTTCCATATCTACCTGACAGGATTTGAAGGAATAAGGTGTTGTAAGGCAAAATTGCTAGGTGTTGAGTGCTCTCAACTTCCACTGAAGTCAGTGCTATTTGAGAGTGCTCAGAACCATGCAAAATTCAGCCCTAATTAATGAAGGTGCTTTGAAAAATATAAAACAGTATATAAATGCTGAGTAGTATTTTTATTAATAAACATCCTATTAATGACAATTTATTTACATTTTGGGGATTTTTGTTTTAATAAAGGAAATCAATAAAGGAAATATAAGTTATTGTGACTTTTTGTAAAGGTATTGACTAAATTTACTATATCTTCTCCCCGCCCTCCTCTACATAGGCTGTTTGCAAGGGAAGGAATCACAGATATTAGGGCCATGTTTACACTTACTGGGGATCGATGCTACTGCGATCGATGCAGCGGAGGTTGATTTAATGGGTCTGACCCACTAAATCAACCGCAGAGTGCTCTCCAGTCAACTCCGGTACTCCACTGAAACAAGAGGAGTCTCCAGAGGTGAAAGTAAGCTGGTATGGTCCAATATGGCGTACCAGCAAGGGCTGGTTTCCCCAGGCCAGCGATTTAAAGGGCCTGGGGCTCCCGGCAACGGCCGGAGCCCTAGGTCCTTTAAATCACCGACGAAGCCCCACCACCGCTACCCTGGGAGCTCCAGCCGCAGCTAACGCCCGGGCCCTTTAAATTGCCACCCGAACCCCTCTGCCAGAGCCCCCGGGGTAGTGGCAGTGGGGCTCTGGTAGTGATTTAAAGGGCCAGGGGCTCCAGGCACCACTACCGCAGCGGAGCCCTGGGCGCTTTAAATCTCTGACAGAGCCCCCGCTAGCAGCAGCAGCTGGAAGCCCCCGGGGCTCCATTGGTGATTTAAAGGGCCTGGGACTCCACTGCGGTAGCAGTGGCCGGAGTCCTGGGCCCTTTAAGTCACCACCGAGCTCCGGGGCTCTCAGTCACCTCTGCAGCTGGTAGCTCTGGAGGTGATTTAAAGGGTCCGGGGCTCCCAGCCGCCGCTACCGCAGCCAGAGCCTCAGGCCCTTTAAATCTTGATTTAAAGGACCCGGGGATTTAAAGGACAGCCTCTTCCAGTTGAGGCCCCGCCCCCCTGCTCAGGACTCCGGCGTACCGGTAAGTCCTTTAAGTTACTTTCACCCCTGAGAGTCTCCCATCGATGCAGCACAGTGTAGATACCGCAGTAAGTCTACCTAAGCTACATGAACTCCAGCTAAGTTATTTATGTAGCTGGAGTAGTGTAACTTAAGTCAACATACCCCGGTAGCATAGACAAGGCCTAGGTGTATCCACTGAAGAAAATAAATGCATGGGTTAAAAGGCTTTTAAGCCTGTGAATGAAAAGAAATGTATAGATCATTATTTGCTTTATAATACAGTGAACTACAACTTGCAGAATACTGGAGTTTATGTAAGAGTACATAAAATTGGAGCTGATTGTGTCTTTTGGATTTTGCATTTACAGTTCAATGGCTATATGTATGAATAACCCTTAAAAACAGCTGACGTGAAATATCTCTAGAGTCCCTTTGTTCAGGTTCTGGCAACAGTTTTTCCTACCCTCCTGATAACTCTTCTTCTGAAGTCCTAATCTTTTCCCTTTTTACAACATCACCATTCCTTGACAAATTAAGGACCCCAATCCTGGAACCATTACAGAGTTAAAACTCCCATTGACTTCAGGTAATATACACCAAACTTTTGGCATGTTATTATTTATTATTTTATAGCACCTAGACATGTGCTAGATGTTTCACAGCAGATACAAGCCCAATCCCCTATCTAAACGTGAGTTCCAAGGGAAGAGAAGGGGCAAGAAAGGGCAATGCTTACTGCAATATGATCACATGGTTACTCAGCTTGTGCATGTGTAACACATCATGGTGGTTAAGGTTTGGGCTTGTTTTTTAAATGTGTGTAAACATAAGGAAGATAAAAGCTCAAAGACTGAATATAGTTGACTCACTTGTGAGTATCACAGAAGAGCTGAGTTTTCAGGATTTTAAATGAGAAGAGGGTGGTCACTTGGTGGACCAAAGTAGGGAGGCCTTCCACACATAGGATGTGGCATGAATGGAGGCATGATGACTTCAAGGCTGCCATCATTTGCAGTACTGAATTAGGTGGAAAAAGAAGAACAGGAGCACTCGTGGCACCTTAGAGACTAACAAATTTATTAGAGCATAAGCTTTCGTGGACTACAGCCCACTTCTTCGGATGCATATGCATATGCATCCGAAGAAG